AGGACTCCAACCTGCAATATGGATTGAAGCTCAACATCAAGAAAACAAAGATTCTCACCACTGGGCCAACTGGCAGCAGCATGATAGATGGACAAGAGATTGAGGTTAACAATTATGGCTTGCTCGACCCCACAATCAACACTCTAAGCACCAGCAGTCAGGAAATCAAAGATTAATTGCACTGGGAAAATTTACTGTCAGGACCTTGTCAGCGTACTGAAAAACAACAATGTCAGTCTAGAAACTAAGGTGTACCTGATCCAAATCACAGTATTTGTGATTACTTGCTATGCATCAGACAGCTGGACAATGATTAAGGACTACAGAAGAAGAACTGATCCCATTGAGTTGTGGTGCTGGAGAAGAGTTTTGAACATACCATGGACTGCCAATAAAACAAATAGGTCTGACATGGAAAGGGTAAAACCAAGTTTCTCCTTGGAGGCTAGGATTTTGAAGCTCTGCTTCATATACTTTGGGCACATGGTTCTTGGAGAAGGACATCATGCTCAGAAGGGTGAGGGACAGTGCAGGAGAGGAAGACCCTGGATGAGATGACTGATACAGTAACTGGGGCAATGGGGGTTGGTGGGTTGGAGTCAGTGACTCTGGCTTAGGACAGGGCAGGCTTCAGAGATGTTGTACATAGGGTCGCTATGAGGTGCAAGTGATTAGATGGCACATAACAACAATAAACTTGTCAAAAAATAAGCACAGATGACATGTAATAAAACATGAAATCACTAAACACTCCAGTTGGTTTTAAAAATGGATTGGTTACAGGGCTTCTACAGAAGTTTTAAAGAAAACATTTCATGACTCACAGTTGACAATGGCAATATTTATTCCTCTTGCGACATTTCCAGTCTTCTCCCCAATGAGCCTGGAATTTGAACAAGAATTAGTCAGTGGATTCCTTCCTGGCTGGGTGGGGTCATCCTGCCTGCTCCCTCCATGTTCTCTTGGCAGAACTTCTGCTTCCTCCATTATCACTTGTCATTCCCCTGCAGATATGGACTGGCCTCAACCCAGCTCACAGAAAGTTTGGCCCCCATCTCGTTCCACACATCTCTCTCCAAGGTTCCGCAGCCTCAGTCACTGAGGGCATTTAGAAACTGTCATTCAGTTTATAATTTACACCATCAGCAAGGGAGAGAAGACACTAATATTTATTTAGCCGGGGATTTTTTAAATGTTCTCTCAGTTCTCACTGAATCTTCTTCTCATGAGTGCTCATTTTCCATTTAAAAAATTTTGAAATAGCAAGAGGTGGGCATAACCACACCCATGGCACCTTCAACTTCTATACATCCTTCTTCTTCTTAGTGTCCTAGTAGCCGTTTCCAGGCCCTTGGAATAAGCACCTGAGGATAGAACGGTGTCTCGTTCTGCTGAGGGCTGCTATGAGTTGGCACCTACTTAGTAACACCTAGTAATAACAGCACTTCATTTAATTTTCACTTGTAAACTGGATGTAAGAAATGTCAATTTTGGGAGATTTGGACTGACTGATCCAGGAAGACTAAATTACCTTCCAGGAGATGCTAATTATTACTGAATAGTTGGGAGAGATGTGTGTATATGTGCATACATACATCTGTACCTGGAGGAAGAATGTCACAGCTGTCCCCAGGCCTGACCACTCCTTCAAGAAATCTGATAATGTCTAAGGTGACCAGAGCAGAGACAAGACCAAAAACCAGACCAGACAATAGATCTTGGCAAGGTTCTGGGCCTAACCACAAAAGCCCAGACCCAAGTTGATTAACAGCCTCAAATTTGAAGCAAAATACCATCTTCCCTAGTCCTCCCTAAATCTCCTATAAAAAGAAACTGCCCTACACTGCCCTCATGCCATTTTTACCTTCTCCACTCAAGTGGTCGGTCACTTGGTGTTCCCCTCAGACCACTCAACAAAGGCCTGTTCGTTTCTTGGGAGCAGCTTCTTTCTCACTCTTTCTTGCCCTCAACTCTTTTTTTCCTATCTAATAGTATTCTCTGTCAGATTTTAGAATTTATGCTATGTTGTTGTTGTTGTTGTCATGTGCTGTCGAGTCGTTTT